TTATTTGATACACGATCAATAAAAATTAATTTGGCAAACAACGTTTAAATGTTGTCAACTGTACAAAGCCCCAGCTTTTTTCTCTCTTATTCTCTACGGTCGTAACTTATTCTATTTTTTTCTTTTGATTTTGTCGGCGATGACACCAGTTTTTGTATTGGTTGTTGATCGTCGGTATTTATTTTTCTATTATTTTTTTCATATCCCATTTTAGCTTGTTAATTTTATTCAGTTTTTTTTTTTAATTTTTAATAAAATCTCTTTTGTTAGACTTTTAGTATATTTTGCATATGTTCATATGTAATTTTGGTATATTTTAACTCTACTTTTGTGGTACGCATTGCTATGCTCTTGTGGCCTGTTTCTTCCGCCTTATGACATGTTTTTTTATCTCTATGGTAAATATGTGATCCTGTGGAGATCCTCATGTCGCTCGTTTATGCTTCGTGATTGTCGGTGGTTATTCAATGATTAGATTCTCTTTTGTGGTTGTTTGTCGATATATTCAGATTTATTTTACGAAGGAGTCTGTAAATTTGCTTTGGTCCGCTCGTTACTCCTACATTATCTTTAAAGTGTCTAATTAGATAGAGACAAAGGAGTACTATTGACGATTACTGGATTACTATATATATATATATATATATATATGATGGTCGTAAGATTCAAAAGAAGGTTTCCACTTATATTGCACTTTCAGATTATCTTTTTATTCTCTGTTTGAATTTTTCTGGTGAACATAGTCCCTAAATTTCTCTCTTGCATTGTAAACGTTGTATCTTCTTTTATTTTAATAAAAATTCGATATCGTTTAAAGAAAATGTTGCCAACTGTCACTAACGCTAATTTCTTTTTATTTTTCATTAATGTTGTACCAAATAATAATCCATCTAATATAACCAAGTTTTAATATTAGTTTTTTTTAATAAATGGATCTAATTATATCCGGCTCACAAAAGCATCTACTACCAACAAGCCTTTTCTAAAGAATTGGACTGGACTTGAGCAGACAGATTCTGAAGTTGAAGATATCTAGGAGGCAGAGAATAATAAGGCAAGACAATTAGGAAGAAACAGAACTCGGGTATGCATATAAGGACAATCAAGGATCGTCAGCGGATCAAAACGTACTCTGCTGAAATTGGGTTATGGTGAGATTCAGGCAATTTGTCGTCCCGGCTCTATATATAGTTTCTTGTTTTTGAGCCCTGAAATAGCATCATCCACTGAAAGCAGCAAGATTTTCGATCCCGAAAACATGGCGAGTTGTACCCGCTTCCCCACTTCATTTTCATCACAACTTGCACCTTCTTGCAATCACATTTAATATAATTCTACTCTGTTTTATATATATTTCTTTAAGAAAAAAACTCTGGCAAAATATGGGTATAAGTGGAGGAAGAATCATACATCAACATGAAGATAAATCATGTCAGTTTGAAACCGACTAAGCTATGGGGAGCTTGAGCTTCTCTAGTCTTTGGGGAATGGATGGTCATCAGTTTGAGAATGCATCTAAGTTCTATAGTATCTGTCGGTACAAAAATTAGTTTGGACGATATTATATAAAATACATATGACACTGCTGCTAACACAGAAAGGCAACTGTTTTCCAGATTATAAAACAAAATAAAATAATACGTAGCCTCTTCCACTTCGCAATCATTCGTGCAATCCAAATTAAATACGAAGTAGACGTGTGCTTTTATGTGTAAAAACTATTGCTCCTTTTTTTTTTTCCTTTGGAAGTAGTGGTTTCAATGAGTTCAGTAACTTATGAGCAGTTCGAATTCGATTCAGTCAAAGTTCGATAAAAAATTGACTTGAGATGACTTAACTCGAACTCGAGCTCGACTCGAGACCTTAACGAGTTGATTAGAGTAAAAAGTCCAACTCGACTCGATAAGTTCACGAACATCTTGTTAATTTTTATATAATTTTTTAGTAGTTATCTTAAAAAATTATTTCATTAAAAAATACTAATTTACTAATAGATAATAAAAAATATGATAAATTGTTAATCTATTAATTTTCTAATAAACAATAAAAAAATACTAAATTATTATTAATTTTTTAATAAACAACAAAAAATACTAAATTATTAATTAGTATTTTACTACACTAAAAAATCAAACCATATTTATTATTTTAATGTATTCGTGGATTGTTACTTTGGAGTTTAAACTTTGAAATTGTTTCATACACTCCTTTGATAATATTTTTGGTTAAATTTATTAATTTATGTTTGTATAGTATTAGTAGATTTTAACTATAATTAAGAAAATAAGGTAAAAATTTTGGTGAGCTTAACGAGCATCGAGCTCAAAGAACAACGAGTGGAGCAACAAATTTTTAACGAGCAGGAGTCGAGCAAAAATTTAACGAACTTAACGAGCAACGAATCGAGTCGAGCAACAAAATTTTTTAACGAGCACGAATCGAGCACTGTTTAACTCTCGATCGACTCGCTCGATAAACAACCCTATTTAGAAGATGGGGAGATTTGACTTGGCTTTTGTTTGATGCGGACTGCCACTTTGTTTGCTTTAGCCATTAAAACCTGGGGTTTATTTAGTAGTGCTATTAAAGCATATTTTAAGATCGTTTCATCAAATGAGTTGCCATTTTTAATGCTAGAAAACCATACATTTAATTATTAGGGGAAGGGTTGGAAATTTTGATGGAGAAGAGAGGGGAGGGTGGTATTTTGCTGTAATCATTAAGAAGCAACTGGCAATTTTGCTTTGACTCTTCCACTGTAAGGGACCCTGTTGGAAAACTCCAAGCTGTCTGCAAACCCATACTGTTATACCCTTCAACAACCGGATTGTAGCAATTGGCCAAAGTCTTACTGATTCTAGTTCTAGGCAGAATGCAATCAAGGTAAAGGATGCTAATTCAAAGTGTTTACAGTTTTGTACTTGATTAGGTATTGCTCCTCAAATTAATTTGTATGCTAATCTGATAATCGAGCAGGATGGGAAACATTATGTATATAAAATAAATACTGAATGAGAGAGCATGCAATAACAACAACCAAATGCGAAACTGATGATTTGATTTACTCATAGAGGTTACGAGTCATGGACTGGCAAAGGGCCACAAACTACCAAAGGCCATGTGCACATGAGTTTAATGCCTGGGACCATTTTGATCCAGAACAAGATACTACAACGGCTCCATGATTCATTTTTGCATTGCAACTTATATAATCATTGTTTTCTTAAAATCAAGCATCCACTTTTGGCCTAATTAAACGGCCAATGGTTTCTGTCATTTCTTTTTATAATCCTAGATTCTAAGGATCCCAGATTAAAACATTTTTCAGTCCCCCCTTGGAAAAAGGTGAATCCAGTTGGCTAGCTATTTGGTCTACTTTATATATGAAATCAAGGCTGGTTTGGAAATGAAATGAGATCTGCAGTAAATTATTGTTTCTAACAAAATTTTACACTGGGGTAAGAACTAAAATTGAAGTCGTACGTGGTTTAGCCGTGTGATATCGGTGTATGATTTTGCAATTGCATCAGTGGTCACCATGAGGATTCAACATTATTAGTAGGGCCCAAGAACAGCTATTTTGAATGTACTAGGGTGGATTTTCTACCTTAAAACCGAAAGAGAAAAAAAAGATATTATTCTTAAGCAGCATCTGAATAATATGTCAGTCCATCATCTTTAACATGCTCGGGTCAGATTATATTACATCATTGTAGATTTCTCCCAGTCCTACCAAAACCGGTTCATTTATCATGCCGATGATTAAGCAAGTATAGAACAAGCTTTTGATGTGATGGCTGCGTGCTCAACGCGAATCGGAGTCGTTAAAATGTTTTAAGAATCAATCACACAATTCCAAAATGCTGAAGACCAAAGTCTTCTCAATCTTAAAGACCGAGTCCCTCAAGCAAGTGGTGTTTTTTTTCAAAGTTTCAGTACAAGTAGTCAATGACTTTCAGATATGAGTTATTAAAGCTCTCCCCCCTCCCCCATGTGAATTAGAACAGGATGAACAAGGAAAAGTCGTATTTGTAGAGTTCACTCGTCAAATATCAAAGCATCAATAGTTCTTAGACTTTTACTTTCCATCTCCCAATTATCTTTGGAGTGTAACTGTGCAATGGTGCTAAAAAGCATCGCCAGCCATTAACATAACTCAGAGTCTCTACAGTCCAACCACAGGAAGGTTTGCTGTATTTGCATATATGCTTCTAAAAGAAAATTACCTTTCGGAATACATATTCTTCAGATGCCAGATGCTTTGCAATGACCTAACATTCATGGGGTCACTCCATACCCCACCATTTTAATGCATTCCAACTTCTAGCTTTAGATTTCAATTGTGGCGCAGGTAAAATAAATAGAGAAAATAAGAGAGAAAAGGGAAAAGGAATCGGTTTACATTAGTGTCTCGATTACTACCAAAAATGAGTCCGCAACAACTCAGCAAAGGGACATGCATGTCTCCCCGTTTCACATTTGGTGTACTTGGTTTAAACAAATTAAAGAAGGGTATTATTTTTAAGTTTAGAATAAAATTGGATCTTCACATCATGAAACTCTGAATCATGATTTATTTATGATTTCTAGCAAGTGAAGATGGAACAATTTGCAGTTTTTAACAAAAAGAAAAAAAAGGGTCCCATTTAGAGAATCCTGACAGTAAAAGAGTATTAAAGACATGAGACAGTACTGTCATGACAATGCCTTGTTTAAATAATTCACTAATCTCTTTTAAAGGGAAGTGTTACCATTATTGAGTAATTAGGTGTCCAGCTTGATACATTCGTTTGAAGTGATTTTATTACCCTCTTTGAAGCCATTCTATCACTTCCAAACTAATCAAAGACTACATATAAGCAACAATGACATGCAGGAAAGCAATAGGTGTTATAGGTCAATTAAATGAGCAGTAAAATACATCCACCAATTTCCACTTACAGGTTCTTATCGAAAGGACAGCTCCATGGTTGTACAGGCTGCTGTTTTACTACTTTTATGCATGAATTGCTAACCGCTTCCCTTATCACCATTGTTACCAATTGCTTTCATTTCCACTCTCTCTTTCACTAAGCCAACTGGCAAATTTGATTGATTTACCTTGGAAAAAAACAAGAGGGAGAAAGGATCGAAGAAAGGACAAAAAGTAGTCTAGGATTTGAGTGTGGTTCGTTTGGTCTTATCCAGCTATACCCTCTTTTCCTTTTCTGTTTATAAACAACAGCTTCAAGAGTTTGCATGTATGTGAAAATCCAAGAGAGAAAAGAGAGAGGAGTCTTTTTTTTTTATTCATTTTTCCAATAGCAAATTCATTTCTTTTTAATATACGAGGGGTTGTAGATCGGTTAGAGAAAAGAGAGTGAAAAAAAAATGAATGTATCAGCTTCAAAATGTGGTAGTGGCTGTGAATCTGGTTGGACACACTACTTAGATCAATCCTCTTATTCTCAATCAAGGTATCAAAAGTTTAGTGGGAACTTCGTGGTTGACGATGAGGAGGAGGACTTATCCATGATGTCTGATGCATCTTCTGGCCCTAGACCTTACTACCAAGATTACGAGGAATGCCATAAGGAAAATGGGAGCTTCTGTTCTGTTCCTGCAACCCCTGAACCAGCTAAGAGAAGCAGCAAAAACAAACAAAAAATCAAAGATCATGGTAGCAATCAACAGCATTCTTATCTTGATGACACTGCCAGTTCCCCTGTAATAAGCTTTTCCAAGGTATGTTCCACTTCTTCAATTAAGATAATGTTCTTACTATATAGTCTATGTTGATATGTATCACAGTATCGGTTCATTTTTTAAAACAAAAATAGAGTAATGATGGGTGTTCTTGGTGTCTATGAACAGAAGTGCTGCAAGAAAGAAGTTTCAATGGATTTGTTGGACTTTTCACAAGGGTTCTCTGGTACACAATTAAAGGTACTAGTTAAATCCATTAAACCAGTTTGCCTTCCATTGTTATGTATACATTCTCCTGAATTGAAGTTTAGTTATGCCACTTTTGAGCTTTTCTTTTTTCAGGGCAAATCAGCATTCCACAAAAATATTGGTTTCTTGAAATCTGGGAAAACAGGTTCCAAAGATTCAGGTGAATTTTTACATTTCACTTTCTCGTGAAGCTTTGGCATTTAGAATATAGTGCAATATGTAGAGTAAAAATGGAAACTGATGGTTATTTATGCCTAATTTGTACCGTATTAATCTCTTGGATACAGGTGGTTTCTAGTGAGGAAACTGGGGAATGACAAAACGGGTAAACTGTCACAGCCTTTGTCTCTACAACTGCATGCAGCTGCTCTGGAGAGAAAAAATGTGAGGAATTTGTAAAAAAATTTATAAAGGCATTGGATCACAATGGGATCTTGTTCCTTCCTTTAATTCTAGTTTTTTATTTGTTCCTGTCATTGCAGTGGGAAACAACCTGAGAACATTAAAATAAATTAAATTCCTGAGTCATTGGTGTCTATATTTATTTTATTTTTCAGTGTTAATCTCCAGATTCTTTCCTTGACATCACCATGCAAGACCATGTAAATTCTTGAGGTTTATTCACCGTAGATTTTAGTATTTAAAACTAGTAATATACTGAAAGAATATTCTGCCGAACATTGCCTTCCACTTGATTCCATGGAAGACTTGAAAAAAAATTCAATGCTGAGCTGATAGTTCACTGTGTAAATTTCAATACTGTCAGAAAACACTAGTCTCTTTTCTTTCAACTCTTTTGGCTGAATAATATAAAGGTTTATGCTTTATATACACAAATAATATTTAACAAAAAAGAATATTAAAAGGGAAGCAAAACGAAAATGGCAGTGGTCCAGGGAGGGACAGGGTGTATATGCATTAAAGCACTTCCCATTAATCAAGTGAGGCCATTACAAAAGTATATCAATCGAGTGTTATCTCGTACCGGTTAAAAAGTGATAAATTCTTCCAATTCACCTACATATGATAGAGCTGTAAAGTGAATTTCGCCATTTCTTATCAACGGGTTTAAAGTTATAGTACATTGACACAAGCGAAAGAGAAGAAGAATGACCCAACGTTTCCCACTTCTGTAATTGCCAGCTTAGCTTAAAAGGTAGGGTAGGTAAATTTGGTAAGCTATGCTTGTTCCTGATTCAAAACAGGCAAGTTTATTTCAGATTGGAAAGAAGAAAAAGACAAGCTTCATTTTCCACCAAAAAAAAGGGGGTCCCAAAAGCACCATCCCCGCCACCTCCATTTCTGACGACCAACCAAGAATGTGATCCATACATACTACTGGGGTTGGAAAAATTTAATGGGAGTTTTGTTTGTTTGGTGGATTCCCCTTCCAAAATCTTTTAAGTGAAGGTGTTTCCCAGGGCCATCCCCAGAATTTGTAGCCATATATTGGAGATGAATTTGGATCTTCGGAAAACGACAACACTTGCCTTCTTTGTCTTGTCAATCCTTCTCTCTTTGTCCTTTTTTCACTTCCACATCCTAATTAGTATATTCACTCTCAATTTATTGTTACTGTTAAACAACAAAACTGGATAAAACCCTGGTCTTGTGTTCATCAAACAGGCAGGCTATGTTCTGAATATGGATATCCCACTTGGCATTCATTTCTGATATATAAAGTGTTTGACACCAAATATATTTTTTTAGAGAAACTTATTCGTTGTGTTCAAAGATTTAACAGTAGCATAGGATAACTTGGTAGTAGATTTCAGAAATTAAGACGAGAGGGCTTTGCTGTTCTTCCAAAACTTGGGTTGAAATTCAGAAAATCCATTCAAAGTTGCCGCCAACATCTTCTGCAAATTGGCAGAGAGAACTCCAACTGGCTTTCAAGAGAAAAAAATGGATTGTTCATCCCTTTTGAATGATATGGACAGCTAGGAGTAAGAAGAACAGGCATGAACGATTATGCAAAAATATGGAGCAAATCTTATCCAATTCCTCTTGGAAAGTCCAAAACAGCAAAATTCAACGGTATAAATAACGTAAAGGCCATAAATTCTATACTCAAATCAGGCCCAACTTGACGTGATTAATACCCAAATCAAATATGTGTCCCGAATCTAAACCAACATAGCGAAATCGGAAAATAATCCCAACGGTCAATTAATAGATTAATAAATAGCCGATAGCTGAGGTTTACTTCTATTCTGCTACAACAGAGTATAAAAAGTAAATCTCGAACCTCCGAATCGAAGCGAAACAATTGTTTTCCTATCTAGATTAACTACACGATTTATTATTTTTATTTGTGTTTTATATACTTTTATTCACTGATTTCAAAATATATATATATATATGATCGCTTTTATTTTTATTTAATTAAGATGTGATCACCACGAGTTATCTGTTGTTAAATATTTTGGTATAATCACACATTTAATCAATGTTATTTATATATTGTCTCAATTTAGTCATATTTTTAATAAATTAAAATAAAGTTAGTCCTCCAACCGAATGGTGACATGATAACTCTCAATCACATCCTAATATTTTTAGTGTTCGAACCCGAGACCTCAAGGAATAACAACAATTTATTTACCACTAAAGTCGCTTGGTTTGTGCAATTCATAATATTTTTTATATTAGGTATTTAGGTGTTACTCTTGTTCCTCGTAAATTGTTTGAAAAGGGGACCGTGTTAGTTTACTGAAAAGGATTAAAGGTAAGCTTGGGCTGTGGATTGTTAGGTGGTTTAGCTATGCAGGTCATTTGCAGTTGGTTAGTTGTTCTGTTTCTAATTTCTGATGCAGACAGTTGCATATATATATATTGAAGCTTCGCGAGGAGGTTAAGTCTTTGTTTGATAATATTGTAGATTGGAAAAAGGTTTCAACTCGTTGGATGCGGAGAGATTCACAGTAAGAAGGATAAGGTTGGATGGCAGAAGCTTTTGTTGTTTTCTATAAATGTTTCTAAGCATTCTCTCATTGCTTGGATGACAGTGATTAATAAACTTCGTATTGTTGATCGTTTAAGTAGAATAGGAATAGTTGTGGATGGAGGCTGCAAGAATTGTGGTGAGGGGAGTCAGGATTCTCGGGATCACATCTTCTTTGAGTGCTCATTTTCAGGGGAGGTGTAGGAGGCTATCCTTAGGCTTTGTAGTGTGTATAGGGTTGTGGGGAGTTGGGAGGAGGAGCTCAGGTGGACAATTACTCATCTCAAAGGCAAATCGTTCCTTGTATATAGATTGGTGTGCTTACATATACTATATATGGGAGAATAGAAATCATAGACAGTTTCGTGGTGTTGCTAGTTGTGTAGAAAATATTGTTGATAGGATAAAAGGAATCGTTAGGATAAAGATTCACAAAAAGGTTCTTAGGCATGATGTTATTAATCAAGGCCTTTGTGTAGTTTGGGGGATTCAGTCTCCTTAGAAGGGTGTTGTATATTGTTTCTTGTAGCAGCGTTTTGGGCTAATTCTTGGATAATGAAGTTAGCAATTTATCCAAAAACAAAATTGTGCTAAATATCCTGGCAAATGAAGGTTCATTCTGGATCGCCTGGGTACATGAATATTGCTTTAAAGCTGTGAGTTTCTGGGAGGTTGATTATAAAGCCCACTTCAGCTGGATTTTAAAAAAGCTGTTGAGATTTCAAGAGGAGGCTAGGAGACTGTTTCTTCCTTGTGCTAATTGGAGCCTAATTAAAGGCAAATGGATATGGGATAACATTAGAGTCCAAAGGGAGAAGGTAAGCTGGCACAGGATTATTTGGTTTCCTTTTCATATACCGAAGTTCTCCCTAATTTTTTGGATGGCTATCCTTGATAGGTTGCCTACTAAAGATAGGCTGGTTTGATTTGGTTTGATCATGGATAATGGTTGTGTTGTGTGTGGGTCTTGTTTGGAGAATCGTGACCATCTCTTTGCAGATTGTTCCTTTGCTCAGGAAGTATGGGGTGTTGTACTAGCTTCTTGTGGGATTCGATTTGATTCGTATAGATGGGATGATCGACTCAATTGGCTGATTGAGAACTTGAAGGGCAAATCTCTTCGGGTGCGGATTCTCAAGCTTGCTTGGACTGGTTTTTTGTATTACATTTGGGAGGAGCGTAATCATAGGAACTTCAGGAGTTCTTCACGTTCAGTTGATATTATTGTAAATAATATAAAGGAGGCTGTGAAAATCAAATTGTATAGTCATTGCATACATAGGATTGATGATGTTAATAGGCAATTGTGCATAAGTTGGGGGCAGACCTAGTGTTGGAACTTGCCTTGTCTTGTAGCAGCTAAGCTGCATTCTTTTCGATGAATATAATTTACTTATCCAAAAAAAAATTATGCTTCTCCTGATTGCAATCATCAAATAAGTGAAGTTTCATTCTAACGGCTAAGGAATTCCACTCGGGGAGGTAATTTGTTTCCGCATCGAGACTGAACAGTAAAATTGTTTCCTGCAATTCGCTGCATTTGATTTATTATCTTTTTGGCCATCATTGCCACTCTAGAGTTCCAACAAATGAGATCAAGTTATACTGGTGTTTCATTCTAGAAAAAAGAGAAGAACAGAACAACAACAAAATAAAACAAAGAGAAAGGTTCTCGTCTCCTTGAACGCAACTTCTTAACACAATCGTCAATAGGAATCAAAAGAAGGACTTGTTTTCGTGACAGCGTAGCTTTTGCTTCTGGGATACAACAAATCTCGCTTCTTATCAACAGCAGCTGCTTCGCTTTCTTCAAATTCACAAGGGTTTTCTTCATCAATTCTTCCCATGGCAACGCTGCTGCTCTTCGGCAACCCTTTTGATCCCATCCGCACCCTCGGTGGTTGTTGTTGTTGTCGAAAAAGCATATCAAGTTTATCCCTATGGCCCAAGCTCCTAACAGATGCAGCTCTAATGAGCTCTCTAAAATCATCCTTGTCATTTGAGGTTGCCGAGCTTAAACAAAAGCTCCTCGGCAACCCTGAGCATTGTCCGGCTGCACGTCCATAGCTGACACTTGAAGCACAGCTTGTCAAACTTCTAACATATAGGTCCCTGGCTTTTCCCAACGCTTTTAATGGGACTGCGATGAACCGCATGAACTTGTTATGGCTGTGCCCTTTGCTTCTCATTCTGCAAATTTAGTGAAAGGAAAAAGAGTTAGGTTGAAGAGATGGGGTTTATTGGGGGTAATTAGTAGGAAATGTTTATAATGATATGGAGGTTGAGTAGAAGCTATCAAGGTTGGATCTGGAATTTCCTTTTGGACAAACCCTTTATGAAACCAGCAGCCGTGGATTGAAGAACATGCTTCGATTGACTGCCAAAATCTCCCCAAATAATCAAATTAGGTCCACACGGCCTACCATCACAGAGTTCTCCTACGATTTTTCCTCCTTTTAAATTAATTCATATTCCACTTGGATCACACTAGTATTGGCATAGGGAGAAAACCAAAAGAAAAAAAGAATCTCTAACAGCGTTTGTTGTTTAAGTTGATATTTTATTTGAGATCATACATGCGTTTATTGTTTCCCTTTGTGGCTCAAACAATATTTACTTAGTTTGGTGCTAAGAACATTTCTGTTGAAGCTTGTTTCCTCAAGTCTTATCTCATACCAAATGAAGATTAAGAACTTTTGGAAAATTATTTTCCACGAAAAGCCAGCCTATGAATAATTGATTAACCTAAAAGACAAAGTAGTGATAAATATGACCATCAAGAATTCTAGAGAAAAAAAATCCAGCAACCCGCGAGTTGTACTGTTCTTTGCGAATACAGTGAAGTGATAGGGAAGTTCAAACATGCTTTTCATCCAATAAGTAAAAGTAAAAGAATTTCCACGCGTTGTATTTTAATCGATTAATTGAACATTTATTGATGATGTTAATCCATATATAACATAATAATAATAATAATATACGAAAAAAAACAATAGCTCAAGTATCATGATAAATTTTTATAATCTTCTATCTGAATTAATAAATCGGTATATTATATATTGATTATTATATATCAAATGTATATAATAATATATAAAACAATAATTCAAATATCATATTAAATACTTTATCAAAATATAAATACTTTATTAAATATTTTAGAAGTACATGTATTTGTAATGGTCCAGAAAACAGAAGGTAGGAGAAGAAAAGATAAACAGTAGATTAAGATAAGGAAAATGTTCAGGTTTTTTCACAATTTATTTGTTGAAGAATTAGGAAAAGTAAACGAAAGAACACAATAATTTTAACGAGGTTCGGCAATGTGTTTACGTCCTCGGTGCCTAGGCGGCGCTAGAAATTTTATTCAATATCTTATAGGTTTAGGTTACATCTCTATTTATAATAGAAAACCCTGATACATAATTACAAAACGGGTGTATACAACTATTGAATCCGAGCATGGGATTTTGTTTGAAGATATGTGTTTGAGGAAATCCATTAAATCTACAATCCACTCTAGGCGAGTCACGGTTCCCCTCCAAGCGATGGCGATGTTGCGGCGGCCTAAACGTTTCGATGTTTCGTCGTTGGAAACGGCGACGTATCCGATCCAATTCGCAGTCTCGCTCCACACTTTGGGCCACCAAGATTTCTTAAAGAAATTCGGAAGGTTAATGTTTGATGTTGCGAAGAGATACTTGGAGAGCACGTAACCATGGTCTGCCATGGCTAGGGAGTCGAAGAACCGACGAGGCGTGAACCTGCAACTTCCACGGTATTTAGAAAACGGGTCAAAATTGAAAGCATCGTAACGCTTCATCCCCTGTCCTCTTTACCGGTATATTTATGAGCTATACCTTACAAATCTCCACCTTGGCGAATATCCTATCCTTTAGGAAACATTCAATGTGGGTTGGGTTACCTTACTTCTTTAACAACTCGAAACATTTAACAAGTCCAAGCAATGCTTGAACTTGTCTATCGTAACTGGCTTGGTGAACATATCAGCGGCATTCTCATCAGTATGTACCTTCTGAAACAAAACCTCTCTAGATGTAACCAACTCTCTGATCTTGTGAAAACGTACATCAATGTGCTTAGTTCTAGAACGATATACCTGATTCTTAGCCAAGTGAATAGTACTTTGATTGTCGCAAAGCAACTGAACTCCACCTTGCTGAACACCCAACTCCTTCACTAAACTAGTGAGCCATAAAGCTTCATTTGCAGCTTCAGCCGCTGCCATGTATTCAGCTTCAGTTGTAGATAGTGCCACAACAGATTGAACAGTAGACTTCCAACAAATAGGTCCTCCACCAAGAGTAAAAACATACCCTTTCGTAGATCTTCTATTATTCAAGTTATCTGTATAGTCTGAATCCATATATCCTACAACCAAAGGATTATCCCGCTGACTACCAAAAACAATAACATTTCCCATAGTACCCTTTAAGTATCGAAAGATCCACTTTTTCTGCTTCCCAATGTTGCTTACCAGGTTTAGACATGTACTTACAAACTTGACTAACAGCATGAGCTAAATCAGGACGAGTACATACCATAGCATACATCAAGCAGCCAACATCATTAGAATACAGAACCTTTTCCATATCTTCAGCTTCCTATCTGTCTTCAGGCACTGTTCTGATGAGAGCTTAAAGTGATTCGCCAATGGAGTGCTAACTGGTTTTGCGTTGCTCATCGCAAACCTTTCTAGCATTTTTTAAACATAACCCCATTGAGATAGCCACAGTTTCCTTGAGTCTCTTTCCCTGCAAATTTTCATTCCAGGAATTTTCTTTGCAGCACCTAAATCTTTCATATCAAATTCCTGACTCAATAAGGTTTTCAAACCGATAACATCATCCATGTTCTTCGCAGCAATCAATATATCATCAACATACAGTAACAGAAAAATAAAAGAACCATCATCAAGGCTCTTAACATAGACACAACAATCATACTCACATCGGTTGTAGCCAATCGTGATCATATAGGAGTCAAATCGTTTATACCACTGTCTCAGAGACTGTTTCAACCTGTACAAAGATTTCTTCAATCTGCAAACTAAATGCTTGTTTCCAGGTTGAGTGAAACCTTCAGGCTACCGTATGTAGATCTGCTTCTCTAAATCACCATGCAAAAAAGCAGTTTTAACATCCATCTGCTCTAAATGCAAATCTCAACTAGCCACCAATGCAAGTACTGCTCGGATTGAAGTATGCCTGACCACAGGAGAAAAACTTTCATCATAATCAACTCATTTCTGCTGTGAAAAACCCTTTGCTATCAAGCGAGCCTTGAACTTCTCCTCCTCTTTTTCTGTTACTGTTGGTTTCTTCTTATACACCAATTTGCAACCAATCGGTTTCTTACCCTCAGGAAGGGGAACTAACTCTCATATACGATTGTGATTCAAAGACTGCATCTCCTCAACCATGGCAGTCATCCACTTGTCATTTTCCTGACTAGTAACTGCATCATGAAAAGTAACTAGATCATCACTGCTAACAGTAAGTGCAAAAAATACCAATACTACAAAACCCAATCTGTTCGAAGGCTTTATATTCATCCGTCTCACCCTGTCTCTGGCGAGACTATAATCCTGCAAATCATCCGTATCGAAACCACCAGAAGTCGGTTGAGAAGTTTCTGTTTTCTCAACTGGAAACTGCTCGAAATCCACCACTGTTGTGCCTGTCTTCTGCTGCAACATGGACTGTTCATCAAAAACAACATCTCTACTGATCACAATTTTCTTCACAACTGGATCCCAGAACTTGAATCCTTTGACACCTTTCTTGTAACCCAGAAAAATACACTCATTCGATTTTGCATCAAGTTTGGATCTCTCATCAGCAGGTACATGCACATAATCAGGACAACCAAAAATCCGTAAGTGATCAAAACTAACTTCATGACCAGTCCATACCTCTTCTGCAACTTTCCCAGCCAATGATGCCCTTGGTGATCTATTGATAAGATAACATGCCATGTTAACAGCCTCATCCCAGAATTGTTTGGGAAGCTCCGTATTCAACAGCAAACATCTGGCTCTTTCATTCAACGACCTGTTCATCAGTTCCGCAACACCATTCTGTTGTGGTGTCTTACGCACTGTAAAATGCCTCTTAATCTCGTGCTCCTTACAGAAGTTTAGAAACTGTATATATGTGTACTCCGTACCATTGTCAGACCGAAAACACTTGATTTTTCGTCATGTTTGGTTTTCTACCTCAGCTTTCTACAGCTTGAACTTTTCAAAAATGTCGGACTTATGTTTCAAAAAATACACCCAAACTTTCCATAAAAATTGTTAATGAAAGTA